TTCGTAATTAATACTGATGTTCGATCGATGTGGGGGAAAGTTTGACTTAAAATGTTTTTTTATGTTGTTCCTTTGCTAAAAGCTAGTATATATTGTTAACAAAACAATAATTATTTGGTTAAGAATGCCAATGTATCAAAAAATATTCGAAAAAATAAAACTGTTCATTGTATTTTTTTATAAAAACTGTTGTCGCCATCTTAAAATCAAAAAGCTATTTCGGATATTTCGAGAAATTGTTCGAGTTTTGAATTTTAAGTGATTGCTTATAATTATGATTTTAAACTATTTAGTAACACACTTATAATATTAGACTCATATTTTATTTATTGTATTTATATAAGCTTAAATATATTTATTAAATAATTTTATTTATGTTTTTACGATTTTTATAATATTATTTTTAACATTTATTATATTACATTATTAATAATATAACATATTACATTTATAAGTACTCGTATTATAGATATGAAAAACTGAGTGAAAAGAATTTATTCGTTAAAAATAAAAATATATCATTTTTAAGTTTGTTATATAGTTGCTTTTCATGTATATATTGTTGCGATTTCGATTATTTCAAAATGTTTCAACTGTAAAACGTATGTGTACTTTATCAAGTTATAATTAATTTTCACTTCACGTGTTCACTGTATATTGAAAATTAATTCGAATCATTGCACTATGTTAATATTAATTACAGTTACAGAGTAAAATAACGTTATGTGTATAATTTATGACTCGATTATGACTCGGAAAGCTTAATGTTTAAATAATATTACAACATTTAATCATAAAATAAGAATCTCAAATCATGTGTGAACAAGGCTCATGTAGACAATGAAAAATAAAGTTTCCAAATTTATAACCAATGCATTATCTGAATACGACACTCATTTACTATAAGTTCGATTGTGGTACGTATAGTCTTTTTTTTAAACTTGACATCGAAGAATTAAACCGTTATGCATATAACGACAAATTATTTGTTTATTATAATGAGTTAGTGGAGCAAATGTAAAACAAAATAATTTAGATATATGAGTTATATATATTTTTGAGTTATGTATTGGTAAAATAGTATAATATTAATCTATGTATTTAGCGTCGATACACATATTTTGTTGATTTTTTAACAAGCTTGTGTGTAGTTTTACCATCCATCTCTCTTTCTCTTGTGGTATTTTATGCTCCGTATAATTTTTTAATTAATTTCAATACATTAGTCGAACATAATGTAATTAACAATAAATAAGTTATTTTTATTTTATAAGTTGTTTTTAATAGTGAAATTCGCAATGTGATATAAATTTATAATTTGATATTACTGATCAGTTTGTTTAGTACGTGATGAATATTAATATGATTAGAAATCAGAAATATAAGGTCTTCATAAACCATACTATAAATATCTAGAAAAAATATTACATTACGGTCTTGCAATTCCTTGCGATAAGTGAATAATACTTTTTAAATTAATTTTTGTCCAAAAATGTTGTTTTTAATAAAAAAAAAAATAGGAAAAATTATTTTTTTATTCTTTAACGTCAATTGAGTGCATCGTTTAGTATTTTAAAAAGTTATCAAATCTTATTTAAGAATTGCATTGTGTAATATATAATTTTACTATTAATATTATTCATAGGCGTGTTTACGGGAGGGGCCGGGTGGGCATTGATCCCCCCGGCGGAATTTGCCTCCAACAACACTGTGCCAGGATAAAAAAAAGTAATGCAATCTATACTCATTAGTAATGAGTAGGAAACGGATTTATATGTAAATACATATTTTTATTAAAACGAGATATTTAAAATTTGATAAGAAATGTTCATGATTTAAATCAATTCTATTAATATGACGCTACTTTTATTTTACATATTTTTACATATTTTGGTATAATTCCATATTTTTACATATATCACTAATTTGTAAATATTTTTAAACATATTTTGTTATTTCATCATTCATACGTCTTCTTCCTACAAAAATACAAGAAATTATTTCAAATTTAGATCCAGAACTTATATCGCTATTAGTAAAGCTCAAAATATTATGCAAAATGAAACATTGAAAACTAATTTAATTTTCATCTCAGTGAATTTTAGTTTTATTGCACATACATTTACAAAATAAGAAACAAAAATATGTCCTTGAATGAAAGTATGCAAATTGTCGAATCAACGATTGCAAAATGAAAACTCGTAAACGGACCAATAGGCGAAGTTGTAAAAAAGAAAATTCATGTTGTTACAGAGAAAATTTCAGGCTATATTGATTATAAATCAATCAATGACATAGAGTGGCAGACATCCTTCTAAAATTTTGGAATTATCGCCTTCTAATATTATGCCCTTCAAATATGCTTAAATCAACCGATGTAGGTTAATGTGGAACGATCATTTAGCAGTTTTAAAAATATTTTCAGATCTAATAGGCGATATTTAATATTTAATAATTTAAAATTGTAATAATTCAATGCAACAAATCATTTTGATAATTTAATAATTATAATTTTTTTTTTTTTATTAAATTTTTTTCCTACATATTTGGATGGTTTTAGCACATATTTTATAAATTATACTTACATAAATATGTACATATTTATATATTTTTATTACATATAAATCCGTTCCCTAGTAATGAGTCATTACCTACCGATAGTTTTAGTACAGCACAGTACAGTGGTAAAATGTATGTATTTTTATTTGAGTTTTAAATGTATTTTTATTATTCATGTCTAAAAAAATATAAGTCTCATAATTTTAAAATTTGTTGTGCCCCCTTGGCCACCAGTCTAAACATGCCTATGCTATTATTTCTTCACTTGTCCGCTGAGTCTGATATTTGATTTATTAACACATATTCAATTCATTCGGATTTTTAGTAAATATATAATCGTATGTGTATAATAAAACAGTTTCGATTGGGATTAATTTGAAAAAATAAAATAAAAAGAAACTTATGAAATTCTTTAGAATGTGTAATTTTAGTGTGGTTTTAGGTGAAATAACACTCTTATGAGTACACAATACAAAACACTCAACACGATGTTAATATATATAAATCTATTTTGAGCAACACGTTTGTCTGTTTATTAAAAAAATAAAAAAAAAATAAATAGCTAATACAATTTTTCTTTCATTGTTAGAATGTTCTTTTACTTTTAGATATTCGTTTTATGTCTTCGAATGAATTAAAATTTAAGGACACTAGTTTTCGGAAATAATTGGCCCGTAATTTCGATGATATCAACAAAAATGATACTTTTTTCTAGAAATATTATTGAATCTTAGTTTTGGTGGTTTGATAACAAAGGTAGAAAAATCTGATGCATCGTTAAAATAACTTAGAAAAAATATTCCACTAAAATATTAAATCAATTAAACCTGTAGTTTGCAAAATGTGGTTAAAAGTTATAGATCAGTGCATTTTTTAACTAGGCGACACAAATGTCGCCCAGTGATTATACTCTGTCGACAATATTTTGAAAGATTGGACGAAATAATGCGAAACAAACGTGTAATACTATAATCGTATTATGGTATTACATTGACTATTTTGAGAAAAACATTTTTTGTCACCCAGTGAAAATTCCTTATAAAATGCACTGTTATAGATTGTGTTTAGATAATTAAAGCCAAAACCTGCATTTTATTTTTAAGTCATTTATAAAATTGTCTAAAAAATCATACACAAATGGTATTGGAATTTGTGGATTTTTTTTTAATTTTACTCAATATTTGCGGTGTAAAATACGACTGTGTAGGTTAAAAATTAGGTATTTTTATAATGTAATATTTGCCCATGAAGTAAAAAAGCTATTAATTCTTGCTTTTGTATCCATCCTTGAAGTTATTTCTGCATTTAAAGAAACTACCATATAGGTTGTTTCGAAGATATGTATATATCCACCAATGCGTTGTGTTAGATGAAGAGCATTCATTTTTCAATTGTATGTATTATATTTAGTATAATATAAATAATATATTCTGGTTGCTGGGAAATTTTGTACCTGAACCTATACACTCGACGTCTGACACAATTGATTGTATTTATTATTTGTCTTGTAACTCTCTTGTTGAACTCACTATGTACACATAAACGCGGTTAAGGGATGACTACTCATCTTGGTGACTAACTGTCACTAATCTTCCGTGGGTATATTGATAGATTTCTCTTGGGATATAATGGTTATAGGTTTATTTTTAGTATTCTCTATACTAGTGCTAGTGCACGTTTCAGTGCCTAGAACGATATTTTTTAGAGCCAGTGGCTTTTTTTTTCAGTTTTATGTTTTGAATAAGATTTAATGGGACTAAGTTTTTTTTTAATTATCTTCGTTCTCCTTCTGTACATTTTAATATTTTTAGAATGACGTATTATAACTGTATAAATAAAAAAAAAATTCAAAAATCTCTCCCAAAAATAATGTTTTTATAATTTTTATGTGTTCTACAATAAGTACTTTTATAATTAAATTTAAAATGAAAGTAACACCTATGTAATAAACCAATTATTAGTTAATTGTGTGTAGAGAGAAATAGAAAATCATCGCTTTTAATTGACTCGCACTCATTTGATAATAATAATGGTTATGTTTTTATAATTCCAAATCACCTTTTTAATAGTAAACACGGGTCACTGATGTAAGACCCTTTAAAATGTGTCACCTGATAATCTGAATTAAATTTTCATCATAGTCAGCTCATAATTAATTTAAAATATTACAAATTATAATTATGCACGCTACAATGTTTTAAAACTATTTTTTTTTAAAAATCCAGTAACACTATGATATAGGTAACTAACAGTTATAGTTGATAATATAATTACAAAGTGTAATGTATGTTAGACTTGATAGTGTGAAATGGAATGAAAAGATTAGTTAATTTCATAAAATTATTTTCAATTATTGTTATATTCTATATTTTTGAATATATCCCGTCTCATTGAAGAAATTCATCATACGAATCTATGTAATTGAAATGATGAAATAAAAATTCTCTATTTTATTGAAACTTATTAAAACTCGCATTTTATTCACAGTATACATTTATACTAATTGTGGTGTGCGATATAAATAGGGTTTGGTACACCTAATGTGTCTATGGTGTTATAATATCGCGGAACCACCTGGTACCGATAATACGTGTTTAGTGTCTATTATTATTTTTAATTTTCTACTTTAATTTCTATAAAATTACTGTGTTAATAATAGTGTAATAGTGCCAGCTAATCGAACAACTATTGCATTTTGGTTTAATTTTTAGGAATGTTCTTTTGCGAAGTTAAGTTTTTCGTATAAACTTGTCAAGTGATATTTATTGTTGTTTGTCTTGGCCAAAAAGTTTAGTAGGAGTGTACATATCAATCTACTTATATGGTTGTTTGGATGAAATATTTTACGGTTAGATTAGATCGGGTTATATCCCGAAGGTACGACGATTTTAGTTACTCTTTATTTTTAGTGTTGTGGGTGTTGTTTGCCAAAAAAAAAAAAAGAAAATCGAGGATCAAATTTGCCTTCTTTTCACTATTTCCTTAAAAGAAAAAAATACACCCAATTATTATTACTTTATGTACTTTAAGCCTTGGCCCGTTCACTAATAAATATAAAAATATGTATTAAATATCTAAGAAATCAATAGAAGCAATAAAATAAAAATTTGCTTTGATGTACCCCTTACTTGCTTCTGAAAGTTATTTTTATAGCATATCTATAGTATTCTTATTTTTTTTTAAATTATAAGAAATTATTTTTATGAACAATTTGTACTTAAAAAATGATCGATTATGAAATTCGTAAAATAATTCGTATTGGGAATTTAATAGGAAATAATTTGTATGACTTAAAAAAATAATTCACAAATATAAAATACACAAATTAATTTATATAGTAAAGAGATTTCTTACTATCGCATCTTTATATCGTCTTATAAGTATTTTACCGATGAAAAATAAAAATAAAAATTCTTTGTACTCAATAGGAATGCGTTTACTGTGTGATGATGTAAATGTCGTAGTCACATCTCATTCACGTGCAGTTTAGTAAATCCTGTAATGATATTTCGTGCACATCCTTCTACTCAGAAAAAATTCAACTTCACTACAACTTTCCTGTTTATAGGGGACTATTTATCTCAGAAAACAACTATAATATTTAGCGAAATATCTATTATCCGATTTAATTTGCTTTCTTTGATTTATAAGCTATACCATCCATTTAAAGTACATTTAAAATAATAGCTCTGGTAAAATGAAAGTTGAATATTTTTTTACTATAAATATAAATGTAATTATTGTATTCTGATAAAAAAAGTTTTTTTTATATAAACTTACTTAATTGTTATAATTAATTTATGTATGAAATAATTAATGATCAATTTTTACATAGCGATGGTTTAGATTGATTCTTCTATAAGTTTAACATGTGGATGTTAAAGTTATATTTTAGATTTTGGTTCCTATATATTGATTTAATAATACTCTTATATACTTTAAATACTTTGGATATTGTATTTTGTAGTAATATAAAATAAATTAAAAATTTAAATGACAATTATAACCTGTAAGTCTTTTCGCTGTTAACAAATATATCATCAAATACTCGATCATCTGAAATTTCAATGTCTCTATGAATAGATAATAATGCGAGTCCGACAAGTCTTGACTCTGAAGTTGAATTCGCGATCCGTGATTCGCGACCGATACACAACATTATATGCATTAAATATCTACTACCACAGATAGATAGCTGTAAAGTGTTAAATACTAAAAATTTTTAAATATTTTTAATTTTTTAGCGATTTTCATAGACCATTAATATAATTTTTTTTAATATTTCGGGGGAGAGGGGTCTACGGCCCCTCCTGCAAAAGCATATATAAATCTTATAATATATATCTTATGATATATTAATAATATACTTATTAATACAATTATTTAGAAAATATAAATTATTACTCAATTTAAATTATTTATTATATGTTCTTAAATCAATAAAGCAATATAAAAAGGTTCATCGAATACTAATTAACGGGTACGCCCCAACTGAAGACAAAGAAGATGAAGTCAAAGATATTTTTTACGAAAATTCAGAAAATGAGTGCGACCAGATACCGACCAACAAGGTAAAAATCTTATTGGGAGATTTTAACGCAAAAATAGGGCAGGAAGTAGAGTATAGACCAACAATTGGGAAGGAGAGCCTGCATAAAACATCGAATGATAATGGCACAAGATTAGTTAATTTTGCTACAACCAGAAATATGATAATAAGTAGCACCACATTCCCACATAAGGATATACACAAGGAAACCTGGGTATCACCATCAGGACAAATAAAAAAACCAAATAGACCATGTTGTAGTGGACAGACGTTTCAAGAAATGCGTCATGGATGTCTGGAGCATGAGAGGTAGCAGCGCAATGTCAGATCATTTTATAGTAAGAGTAAAAATCAAGCTACGTCTGTCAGTTGAATGGAGAAAAAAGAACGTCTCTATCAAAAGGTGTTTAACATAGAAGACCTAAAAAACCAAGAAATCAATAGACAGTACAAGAATAAACTAAAAGAGACCTTGAGTCTGACGGAGAATTCAAATAACGCAGATAATAACGTAGATAATCTATGGAATGAGATTGAAAACTCGATTAAAACTGTGGCCACAGAAGTCCTAGAATTTGAAGAAAGAAAGAGGGGGAAAAAATGGTTTGATGAACAATGTAAAAAAGCGAATAATGAAAGAGATATTGCCCGAATAAAAATGCTAAAAGACCCAAGTGAGGAAAATAAGAGAGTACTATCGGCTAGACAAAGGGAAACTAAACAATTGTTTAGAAAAAAGAAAAGAACATGGGAAAATTCTAGACTTGAAATAATAGAAAACAGCTATAAAATCAATGTAAGACTTTTTTTTGAAAAGGCGAATGAAATTAAGAATGGATTTAAGACAAAAGCAACAATTATAAAGGATGAAGAAGGATTTCTAATAACGGATAAAAAAAAGGCTGCAAACGAGTTCAGGAACATGTTTGAAACAATGCTGAACCAACCTACTCAAGTAGAAGTGGAAGAAAACCTCAACACGGTTGAACACAGATTAGACGAACCCACGTTAGAAGAAGTAGAAAGGGCAATAAATATGTTGAAAAATAGGAAAGCACCAGGGGAAGACGCAATTGTTGCAGAACTACTGAAAGAAGGAGGGAAAGAACTAATGACACGACTGAAACGACTAGTAGATAATATATGGACACAAGAAGAAATACCAGTAACATGGCATATGTCAGTTCTATGCCCGGTTCACAAGAAAGGAGACGCTATGGTTTGCCAGAATTACAGAGGAATATCCTTACTAAACACCTGTTACAAATCAGTTTCGAACATCATACTAAACCGTATCAAGCCATACACAAGGGAAATAATAGGGGAATATCAGGCAGGTTTTATGTCAGGGAAATCTACAGTGGATCAAATTCATACAATAAAACAAATAGTAGAGAAAAGTCACGAGTTCGACATAGATTTGCACCTACTATTTGTTGACTTCAAACAGGCATATGACTCCGTAAATCGAAGTAGATTATGGAAAGCAATGACCCAACTGGGAATCCCTACAAAACTGGTGAGATTGATAAAGACATGTGTGCAAAAGTCCAAGTGTATAGTTAAGTTCAACGGAGAAATATCTGAAGATTTCTCAGTTGAAACAGGTCTTTGACAAGGAGATGCGTTATCCCCCACATTATTTAACATAGCCTTAGAATCGATAGTGAGAGAAGTACTTGATGATGTCACGGGCCTAAGAATTGGAGGAGGACACCAAATCACACTAGCTGCGTATGCTGATGACATAATAATTATGGGAGAAACCGAAGAGGACCTAAAGCGGTCGGCAGAAAAACTAATAAGTAAGGGAAAAGAGATTGGACTACAAGTTAATGAAGGAAAAACGAAATACTTAATAGTATCACGTAGAGAACAAGTACAAAATTCGTTAGTAGTCGGTGGATTTACATTCGAAAGGGTAACAAACTTTAAATACCTGGGAGTAGATGTTAACCAACAAGCAAACAGCCATGATGAGATTAAAAGGAGAATAAATGCAGGAAATAAGAGCTATTTTGCGCTCGTACCTATATTTAAATCAAGATTAATCTCCAAAAATACAAAAATAAGACTATATAAAGTACTCATAAGACCTATAGTTTTGTATGCTTGTGGAGCATGGGCATCAACAAAGTCGGACGAGAAAAGATTACTACTATTTGAAAGGAAAATACTGCGGAGAATTTATGGACCTAAAAGAAACGAGGAAAATTTATATGAACGAAGAACTAATGCAGAATTAAGGGCAATGTTCAACGAGCCAAACATAATGGGAATACTTAAAAGTAGACGAATAAGCTGGGCCGGGCATGTATGGAGAGTGGAGGGCCAAACAGTACATGATGTCACAATGTGGAAACAAATAAGAAACGACTGATAGGGAGGCCAAGGCAGCGATGGACAGACCGAGTTAAAGAAGACCTCAAGCTCCTGGGGGTTAGAGAGGGAAAACAACTGGCGAAGAACAGAGAATTGTGGAGAGGTGTAGTAGAAGCGGCGATGGACCTTCAAGGCCCGGAATAAGCCAAAAAAAAAAAAAAATTTCATCGAATTTCGATGGAAACTTGATATTTCTTCCAATTAATGGTGTTAAAAATATGGAGTATTTTTTTTTAGCCTTTACGTAAATGATATTATAAATTAAATAATATAGCTTGGATCGACATATTTTCATATTAATGAGATCTACTTTAGATCAATTGATAATTGCAGTAAGCTCTAATAACTTTCACAGGTATAATATTTCGCATTTGTTGGTTAGAGTTTTCTTCAAATCCTGCTAGTTTTTTCAAAATAATACATCAAATAACGAACATATATGTACCATGTATGAACAGTATAACAGAAGATCGAAAACATTCTATGACTAAGTTAGTTATAACTATTCAACGGTATGGACTCTAATTAGAAAAATGATGACAAATTGCTATTATAGATCAAGTATATGTAAAACAAAATTTTGAAAATTTTGTAATCACAATTTTTTTTATATATATCTTTGACTTTAAAATAGTAAGAAAACTAACGAAAATATATAATCTTTCATATTAAGAAATCATAAATTTTTTTTTAAATTTGCTTACATTAGGCTTAAAATAAATAAAAATAAAATAAATTTGGGTACAAGATTTTCACATGTTCTTTGTGGCTATTACCTATTTAAACGTTAATTACAAGTATATACATATACATATATATATATACTATAAATATCCGGATATTTACAAGTGTACAGTTGAATCTCACGTACATATCTTATTTGATATCGTATTATTTATTAGAGAATCAACCAGTGAAAATAACCAGTAAGTTTGTGATATATTTGTATTATGGACATAATGTTACAATTTAACTTCACCATTTTAGTAATAAATACAAAGCGTTTACATTCTTATCATTCTATGATTTATGTTGTGTAATTTATTTTATTATCGTGTGGTAGAATCTGTTTTAGCATAACGCTAATTCATTATCAATAAATTAACAAATAATTATAGTTTTTAATGCTAATGAGATTAATATAGTATTGTCTATGTTTATGTCTATGTATATATTTAAATATAAATGACCTGTTTAAATAAAATATCTTACACGGTAAAGTAAATTATCAGTAAAACCTAAAGTATTGTTTTATTTTGAGCTTAAATAATAAGCGCAAGTTTTTATATTCTGTATTTTACTGGAATGTATTTATTCAGAATTTTAAAATTATTGACTGCTTGATTGCAGCAAAAATGTTATTTTAATTTTGTTTTTGTTTATTTTTAGAGCTTTGACAGAAACAGATTTGAAGTTCATGGACGTTAGGCTCATGCCTGGCTATAAAGACCCCTATTATAAACGGTAAATTAATTTTATTATTTTATTTTATTTAAAAAAATTATTTCAATTTTATTGTTATAATATAGGCCAATTACAAAAGGAGAGATTGGATGTTTTATGAGTCATTATAGAATTTGGGCTAAGGTAATTTTTCTACTTAAAAATATGTAGTTTATACAATTAAATTATTATATTGAGCTATATAAGTATACAAATAATTGCCTATTTATTTTATAAAATGCTGCTGAGAAACAAAAATTAAGCTTATAAGTTTTAAGTTTAAACGTAGAAATAATTAAAATAATATTAATAATTTATAGTTTTTATTAATATTCATATTGTAAAAAAAAAAAATAAACCGTTAATTCATAATATAAAAAAAAGGTCTATATTCATGTTTTTTATTTAACGAAAAAGTCTGTATTTGATTAAGTTAAATTTTGAATCAATTTATTATAACCCAACACAATTTATAAGTTATAATTATTTTCCGTAATGATCGATGTAAAAAAAATCCTAAGAAGTTTATTTTAAAAATGTCAAGTGCAATAGTAAGGGACCTATATCGGTAAATATAATCATTTTGAAGTTGTGATCGACGAGACGAACAAGTGGTTGGGTGCAATTTTGTTAGGATAAGGTTTGTTGGTCATAACAGACCCGGATTTATACGCAATAAAAATCTATAAAATATGTAGACTCTTATAAATAAACAAAAAATATGCAAAAATATATATTCTTACAAATCGATAAACTATAAGATTTTGAGTAAAAAAAATATATAAAAAAGTTTATTAAAAACAAAATGCGGAACAACATTTTTTTTATGAAATTATGCTTAAAGTATTACACTATTTATATTCAATTATTATTATATGATGAGTATCAGCATGAGGTAATAAAAATTGATTTCACGTTTTCTTATTGAAAACTTCTACAATTATCTCTTTTTATTGAAAAAACTTTTCACGTCAGTGCATATTTTAAATTAACTCTCCATTGATTATACTATCTATTTGTTTCAATGTAGAATATCCATGTTTTTTTGACAAATCAATTGCAAGTTTAGATCTAACAAAATCTATCCTTATTTATTGATTGTTCATCTTTTAATGTTAAAAAATTTAAAATATAAAATATAACAGTTGTTACATTGGTTTTTTTACGGTTATTATAGGATAACTGGAAAATGGTTGATGAAACTTAAAAAATAAAAGATGAAATAAAGATATAATAAATGTATAATGTAATTATCTAAAAAACGATTCAAAGTAATAATTACATTTTACCATCTGTTACTTAACTGATTTTTAACGGTTTTTTTTTGTTTTTGGCGTCAAATAAACTTTCTTTGGAAACCAATTGTTCATATCTTTTGCCAATTTTGTAATTTTTCGTTAGTGTTTCTTAATTATTAAATCCGTAGAGCTGTATCTTAAATATAATCCTCAAATATTTATAATTAGACAAAATTTGCTACCAAAAATCATCCTTACATTTGATGATTGGAACAAACTAATGTTTTAATATTAAATACCAACAATTAAAACAATATTAATAAAATAACAAATAAACATCATAGGTTTTGTTAGGTTCAATAAATCCTTTGTCTCATTCAAAGTTTCATTTCTAAATAAATAACTTAACATTTTTAAAATTGATGACATAAATTGTTATTGTTTTAACTGATATTATTGTATTTAGTAAAATATAGGTATGTACTCTTAATATGTTCATATTCATTTTTTTTTTCATTAATTTATCATAAGTTGTAATACTCGAGTAGAATTAAATATACGTAATTTTTGATAGAGGCTTTTAAAACGTGATGCTGCCAAAGGGTATTAATAATTTCTTGAACATAAAGTGAGACAAATAAAGAATTGTATCAGTAAATAAAAGAAACAAGGTCAATGTGAGCGACAGTCGTGGTAAAGAGAAAAAAAAATTGATAGACATAGTTGAGATAAATAACAATTTTGATTGAAGGAAAACTGAAGGTATGCGGATTATACCGAAATAGGTATTGTATACATTGTTATTATATTTTAAAATTATGAATTTACATAACATTTGATGATTGTGTTAAATCTGTAATTAAAATTTAGTTAATATTGAAGAATGACGAAATATTAATCCGAATGTATGCATCATTTATTTATTTCTGATATGGGATACTTCAGATAAAGGATACTTAAGAAATAGAACATAATCCAGACTTTATGTAGGTCAGTAAGATGTATGTATCTATAAACATTAAATTAAATTGATAATTAACCATGATTCTGAGTTTTTTTTAATCCTAAGGTTGGTTTTTATAAATTGTAATTACAACAAATGCTTTCTCCAATTTTCTCTATTCTTCGTTATATCTTTTAGCTGTCTGTAGAAAGTGGCTTCAGCATCCTTTATTATTTAGCTAATGATTCTGAGTATAAATAGATATTAAATATTTTATGTTAAAGGTAGTTAACGTCATAAAGGAATTTTGCTTTTTTGTATTTAAATATTATAATACACAATATTGGGTATTTAGTAAATCATAATTTATTTGTACAAAAAATACACATAAAAGAAAAATACCAGTTTTTATTTTTAAATTTGAGTCCAAGGAGTATATTAATGATCTATTATATGATTTATTTTTAATTGTGTAGTAAAATAATAAATAATCCCTATTTTTCTTGAAAGCTATAAGTTATGCCATAATTCAAACTTAAACTGTTAAAAATCCGACCAAGTGAAATCTTCAGATTTTTATTTTTATATGGTGCATGGTTTATGGTTAGTCTGCTATTAAACTGTTAAAAACTATAAAACATAAAGTTACTTATATTATCTACTAAAATTTAAATAAAAATGTACTTTCTTGATCAAGTTTATTATTGTTTCAAAGCTTTTTTTTTTTAGATTTATTCCAGATTAGAAAAAATACAAAGGATATCGAAAAAAATTTCTTTTTTTTATTTAATTTTCGATTTTTTGAGTATTTTGATGAATTTTATTTCATATAAGTTTAGTCGTAGAAAATGAAACGAAAACATAATCGTAAGATTAACGTATTTTTTGATTCATACAAAAATCTAAAATTTATTTATTTTTTAAGACTATCGTTATACCATTCTACTAGTATCATTATTTAATTTTATTTATTTTCGTGAATTTATTATTTACTTTTCGAAATATTAAAACAAATAGAAATAATACTTCCTTTCTTGCTTATATAAGGATAGATTTTGCGCTATTTTCGTGACTTAAATTGAATATTACTATATATATTTCTAAATATGTCTATCATGCTTATTTGTTTCGTTATAATAATTAAAAACTTATATGATAATTAGCTAGCACGAATTATTACTGTAAGGAATTATAATAATAGACACAAAATTAATATTGTATTATAAATTTCTATAGTATATAGTAATATCTCATTTTAAATAATTAAATCGAACTCTTGTGGTAAAGTATGTTGTATGAACTATGGATATGGTTATATTTATATAATTATGTATTTATATAATATATATTTATATAGCCATTAAGAGAATTTTTAAAACAGATTTTAATTGGTTTTTAATTCTTACTGTTATATATTATGTTGCTATACTCGTAATGCTATTTTATATTGTAATGTTCATCTGGATAAATTAATAGTTTGTAATGTTTATCTTCAACACATTTATATGCCTTGTAATATTCATAACGAAAAATATAATACGCTTTTTGAACATCCGTCATCTATTCTCATTGAGATCTAATTGATATAGTAAGTATTAATAAACGATGAGAAAATTAATAATTCGCAACATTAAATTAGTTTTTGTTTTTTATATCACTGTTATGTCTGATTTATTTTAATTTAACCGTGTTTCATAATATTGTATACATATCATAATAAGTTGCACAAATATTTTCTTTTCTTGTATAATTCCATTCTTGTATGTAGTATTTTTCCCTATAAAATAAAATGCTATTTTAAATCAGCTTTGATGCTACACGCTATGACTAGTAGGTCTTTGGGATTAGTGGTCATTCTTGTCACGAATTGATCTAATGCTCGCAGATTGTATATAGTTCATCTCTCGGCTACACAAACAATTCAATATTCCATACAAATTTTATTTAACCGACATATATATTGAAGCTGTAGATCATCCAAGACTTCGTAAAAGCTTTTATATCCTCGAGCTATTTGTTATCGAATAAATCTTGTCAGTATAGAATATACAAGGGGTAATGTAGTGGTGTAGTGGGAGACGAAATCCGAAATTGTTTGATTACTATAACCATATTTTCACGGAGATCCGTTGTGAGGATATGTCAGATCTGGACAGAATGAACGAAATTTTACGGATTTCATAAGAAATGGGTGGGTTTCGAAAAAAAATATGTATGTCGAAAACACTTGATGAAGTTTTAAGTAAAATGGTTCTCAAAATTACGATATTATTATTTAGGAATAAATTATCTGCACTGCGTAATAATACTTGTAACAGACAATACGTCTGAGTTTATAATAAACATTTAAAAATAAATAGTACGTTTTGGTTTGATCGGTCACACTCCGATAAAAAGAACGATGGTATTCTCTTTATTTCTGCAAAATAAATATTTTTGAACGATTAGTTATGTATTTGTAAATTAATTATACTAATAGAAATAAAAATGAAAGTATTGAAGAAATTGCAATTTTATTTGAATTTGCTTGCTGTTTTTTATTAGTGAAGTTTAAAATTTTTGTTTATTTATCTAGGATATATTATCACAAAAAGTTGTTTGTTGATAGATAAGGATTGTGTAGTACTCGTATTAATACATATAGCTTACACAGTAATATTATTTTATTGTAACATCTTCGGAAACTAAAGTATCGTTTAAGTTGTTCTTTAAAATTTTAAAAATGTTTTATTAATGCTATGTTTTAAGTTTTAATATTTTTAAATGTACTCAAAAGTAAACATCTAACGAAAAAAAAATTTCCATATCAGTCACCTTATCATTTTTAAGGAATTTTTACTAATCATCATTAGTTCATTTTTTTAGTTAAATTAAAATGTAGTATATTTTCAATAGCTATCAAACTGTATCATCTTTTTTTCAGTTCAAATATTTTTTCCAAAATTCAAAATTTATTTACCCTG